TTATTGCCAACAAAGGTTATGTTACAAAGTATTGAGTTGTATATTTGTTATTATCATGGGATTTTTTTTTCACATTCTGTCTCTCACAGTAGTGAGAGTGAAGTGTACCTCTGGTGCAAATTACGGACCTCTGTCATCATTTTAAGTGGGGGAACTTGCACAACCGGTGGCTGACTAAATACTTTTTTGCCCCACTGTATATATAGTTGTAAATTCTGAGGATTACTTCCCCCTTGCAAGACAAAGTACATTTTGCCAAGAACTGCTTATCCTGACCTTTCATTGCTCCTGTTTTTGGATGAAGTTGATGACGTGACAGCTGTTCGATGGTGGTTGGCTCTCTCAGGGTAGGAGTGATACAGTCTGTCACAGTCTGAGCACAGCCCCTGGAGGCAGGTGAGGCAGTGGGCTGAGATGCGAAATATTCCACAAATAGCGCAGTTCTCTGTGAAACAAAACAACAATGACACAACACTGCTTTCTGCTATAATTTGTACCCACTCACAGCAATAATTCATCGTTGTTTTGCAATGTAGCACATAATACACTGTTAAATGTAGACTTAGAAAGTGTAAAAACATAAAAATTCATAATAATTGGAATCTTTCCTTCCAGAAGTTGAGGCTCAATTCGCACATCTGGCCTTCAGGGTAAGTGGACTGCTTTTCTAGTCCTACAGACTGAAGCTATATTTGCACATTCATATGTCACACACTCACATCCACATTATGATGACACATTGATGGAAGTTGAGTGTCTTTAGCATCAAGACTGAGGAAGTCAGACATCAATTTCTCAGCTAACCTGGATGTTTGCTTGAGAAGGTGGAAAAGACCTGAATGGACCTGAGGCTTTGGTTGTTGGCAGACAGCGAGTGGCTACGGTTGCTCTCCCTGGAGGATCGACGGTACAGGGAAAAAGCTAGAGACTTGGTCTGGCTGTCTGCACGGCATGACGAGATCACAGCATCGGTGTTGAGTCCGACGTCCTAAGAAAAGAGAAAAGTGGCTGAACGCTGGCTTTAAAACTAGAGCTGGTTCACTCTGTCTGACAGTATATTAATATCAACATGGCTTCATTGAAAATGCAATCATAAAGACAACGTATGTAGATAATAAGAGGAGGCCAATAAAGCTGGAAATCTGAAAGTCTATTTAAACTGTGGATGTATGGACAGAATTCCTCCCCTCACTTGTGAACAAGACCCCAAGATTGTCCTGGGAGCTTGGGAAGAAAAGCGTCTGGAAGTTTCTTGAAGATGTTTCAGCTCTCATCCGAGAAGCTTCTTCAGTTCTCAGAGGAGTTGGCGGAGAGTCACAGATTTTTAGCCCTACTGGGAGTGTCTCTAAGAGGGCCGTGGATCCCGTATTGTTCCTCTGCCTAATGATGGTCGTTACGACACCAACTGTCTGTCATTTTGGATTATAGCCCACTCACATTTCATCTCAGTACCACAATAGGGTGGGGCAGGGTCTCACAATGGGTTCACCTGAAATCTTGGTTAAATGCAGGAGTTAACAGACACCCATTTTCACTCCTGGCTCGTGTGATTAGGCAGAGGAACAATGGGGGTCCTCGACCCTCTTAGGGATACTCCCAATAGGTCTTAAAAATCTGGGACTTTCCACCAAATGCTCTTAGAACTAGATCTATGATCTATATGTATGATCTATAGCAATCAGAAATATTGTGTGAAGGCCAAGAAAAATGTATTTTCCCAAGTGGATCATTACGGCTTTTGCCTTCCTTCTATCATAGTCCTGAGTCTGTTGACTCAGTGGTTTTGATTATTATTATCTTATGTTTCAGGTTAATTCTTAAGGTTTTCTTGTTCTTAGTTTGGTTTCTGTTTTGTTGCCATGTCTGATGTCTTTGTGTTAGTCTTACACGTCTTGAGTTGAGTCTGCATTGCTTCCTGTGTCTCGTTAGCTTAGATTTGTACCTGCTGTGCTATCACCTGTTCCCCATCCTCTTGTTGTCCGTCTGTATTTAAACCACGTGGTTCTCTCTGTCTGTGTCACATCGTCAACGTCATCCACGCCTTCTCCGTGCCGTGTCTCATCCTCCACGTTCTGGTGAAGTTCTAGTTCCCAGTTCTGCTCTCCTAGTCTATGCTTCCTAGCTCTAGTTTCCTGAGTCTAGTTTTAGTTTGTGTTTGAGGTTCTTCGTTTGTTTTTTGTAAAGTTTACTTCTAACAAAGAGTGCTCCAGCAAATAAAGCTGGGCTTTCAGTTAGCTCCTGCATTTGAGTCCACATCCTGCCCACACACAGCACTTTCACATAATGGTATGATCCCAGTCACGACCTGCTCCAAATGACATGCCTCGTGCTGTCTTGGCATATATAATTTTTGATCACTGCTTGTTTGAATGCGAATTATTAAGCTTATTAAGCGGTTTTATTTCCCGCAGTTTGAGAGCCACCAGTTTAACCACTTAAATGTAAGAGAAGAGACTCACCTTGTGTCTGAGTGTAGGAATGATTCTCTCATAGAATTCAGGATGGGGATGAGCCTCCTGAGATCAAACCAGACAAGTCAGAATTAATGAAAAAACGACAGCACATGTACAGTAGTCTGTGTGTACACATATATATATACATATACATATATATATGTTTGAAATAGCTTGACATTTGAAAGCATGTCCTGTTAATATATTCTCTCCCAAAGATGGAACATTCATTCTCCTATCTGATGACGAGCCACTCTCAAACATCATAAAAGGAGTCGAGCGGTTCATTTCATCCACAGAGTTGCTTCACTTGATGCAGTCAGTATAAAGTCCTCCAGGAAGTGATGGTGACGAGTCAACAACCAAGTTATGTTTCTTTTTCTTGTTTTGAAGCGTTTGCCATGATTCTGGGTGCAGTTGCTTCATTCATGATTTTTACTATATGATTAATAGGAAATGAGATTTTTTCCCCTCAATTTAATTTGTTTGATTTGTGCATCTCTGAAAGATTGAACTGACTTTTGGCATAACTATAACAACAGTTTCCAGTTAATCGCGTCACTCTTAGTCAGTGACCACAGAATAGCCAAGATTGATGGATATACTTCTGCTCTTTTATGAGGTAATTCAAATATTAAGGTGGTTATAATAATTTGTTACGTCATCTTCATAGCTATATACACTGCCTGGCCAAAAAAAGGTCACCACCAAAAAAAGGTCACAAACTCTAATATTTCGTTGGACCGCCTTTAGCTGTGATTACGGCGCGCATTCGCTGTGGCATTGTCTCCATAAGCTTCTGCACTGTTACAAGATTTATTTCCATCTATAATTTTTCACCAAGAACTTGATGATAGTCTGACTGCTGCGCAAAGCCTTCTCCAGCACATCCCAAAGATCCTCAATGGGGTAAAGGTCTGGATTCTGTGGTGAATCCATGTCTCATGCTCCCAGAACCATCGTTCAAAAAACAATTGCAAAAAACATAAACAAAAAATAAAAAAATAAACAATAAACACAGACTGATTCATGTTCTACACAGTTCTTACAAGTTCATAGAAATTTCTGTTCAATTAGAACCAAATATTTGAGTTGATGATTGTAATTTTTATACAATGTTGTAATTTGTGTTTTAACTATTTTTTTGATTGGTGTTTTGTTTCCTTTACAATATTATACTTTAATGTATAACATTGTAAAGGAAATAAAACATCAATCAAAAAATTGCTCTTTTTTTTAATTCAGGCTACTTAAATTTATTTTGGCTACCAAAAGCTGAAGAGTGCCTGCCCGAAGGGCTACCAGGGATTTTGAAATTTGCGAGCCCTGCAGTGAGTGAGAAGTTATATGTATGTGACCTGTTTCATGTGTCTGTATCCCAACAGTCAGAAGTCAACTTCACATTTAAGAGTTGAACATTGGAAAGAGCCAGTCCTCTCGGCTCCAGACGTGGGATTCACAAAAACGGCCGAGTTTATTCTGCTGTAAGACACTTGCCTCCAAAATTTAATTTGGTTTTGAATAACATTCATTTGGGATCACTTTTTCACAGGTGAGATCTCCACAAGTACGGTTTTTATGTTATACTGGAACCATTGATCAATGATATAAACACTGGAAAGCTAAGGCTAAGTCTTCCATTATCTGGGGAGCAGTTCTATGGTACAATCTCACAGATCACTGGAGATAATCTAGGGAGACACAAACGTCTCGGCTTGAACGAGTCATTCAGGAGCCGTCATTTCTGTTGCCTTTGTTTAACTGAGTGATTCTTAAACCGTATACAGTGAGGATGATCCTTCATTGCCAGTCTCTCCAGGAAAACCCACAATTGAAGTTTTTATATGGTTTGAAAAACATTCACACTTAAGTATTTCCATGTTTGTAATTCCAACTTATTTGATATAATGCATGATCTTTTTGAGGGTGCAGCTCAGTACGAGATCAAAAAGCTCTTTGAATATCTCACGCAACACTTAACATCAGAACAAGACTTGCTTCCCAGGATTTAGGGTTTTGATGATGGAGTGATGATGGAGTGATGATGGAGTGATGATGGAGTGATGATGGAGAGTGCTGGCAGTGGCATCGGTTTGAGTTCTATTCAGTGTCTCGTGACATTATTATTCTTGCAGGACACGAAAACTGGAATTTGTTTTTGTTGTTGTTGTTACCTCAAATAATGAACATAGTTTTTCCACTTTCTATCACAATGACAATATTTGACTGCATTAGAATTTGTTGACCACCACAAACTATTTATCCACATAGAAACTTGATACCTAAGCATGATTCTATGATCCATTATTGGCCCCCTTATTACACATGTGGAGTATGAGGTTTAAAAAAAATTGGGAAAAAGGGCTTAAAATACTTCACTTTACCTGCAATGAATGCAGAATTTATAAATGTTTTCCTATTATAAACCCAGTACAGATTCATATACAACATTCAACTTTTCCCGATATTTAGGAACACTCACTGTTTCCTCAGGGAAAAAGCAAAGAGTTCACACTGACCACAAACAAGAAAATGCAACAAGAGACTTTGTTACATATAAACTAGGGCTGCCACGATTAGTCGACAATCGTCGACGACTGATTTAATAGTCGACGGTCCTCCCAAAGACGCAGGAATAAGTAGTAGGATTTAACAGTGTAATAACGGACTGAAACAGAAGATGGCAGCACTGCATGTAAAAGGATGCCAGCTGCCGTTAAACCCCGAAGAAGAAGAAGCTTCCCAGAATTCATAGCACAGCCCAGCTCAGTTTCCAACAATGGCGGCAGCTAGTTAGTTTTAATATTACTCTTATTATTCTTTCTGGGTCACAAAATAAACGTTTAACATATTTTCAGGCGAGAATGTAGCTGTGTAAACCTCAAATATCTGCTCAGTTTATCAAGACACCACATATTTTCAAAAGCGCGCCGACGTTTTCGGAGACGTCTGTTAGCCACTAGCTCGATAGCTAGCCGGGGGCTAGGCTCACTAGAGCCGGTGGTCATATATACTCCGGTGTCCTGTTATATTTTAGATAGCAAGGAGCAGACGGCTGCGTTTATTAAACTTCACCGAAACAATCTGCAGATTTCATTAAAATTTAATAAACTATCATCTTGTCTTTATTTTTAGTTAGCACATACCTTAAACACTTAAAGCTGTAAGCTAATGATAGTTATATAAGAGCAGATGCTGCTGGTGCAATAAGCTGTAGTTTTACGTCCAATGGATGATGATCTGATTAGTCGACTATCAAAATAATCAATGTGGCAGCCCTACTGTAAACTGGTTCATATTTGGTGCCTTTCAAATGTACTTCAGCACTCTTTTTACAACATTGTCATTCAGACTTTATATCTAACACTCACACATATTCACACTCCCGTGAATGCATCCGTGATGGGTTGAGGAGGGTTCATTGCCCAAGGAAACTTAATGCAGGCTGGAGCAGCCAGTAATCGAAACGCTAACCTTCCAATTACTGGATGACCTGATCTACACTGACAGATCTGGTCAAAGCCAACCTTTTAAAACTGTCTTTGGTTCTGCAGCAAACTCACGTCGGCACAGGGACAACTAGTAACACGCACACAGAAAGTTTACACAAACCTTGATAAGCATTTCTAGTTCCATCCTCAGGCTCATCACTTCCAGAGTTACTGCAGCAACTCTGCCCACATCAGGATCTGTAACATCATCAGGGAAACTGAGTCCATCCGGCTGCTGATTAGAGTAACCATAGAGACAGAGTACAGCGCGTCCTCCCTGGGAATATAACAGACAGGGCAGAAGGTGATGAAATGTTAGTGGTTAGTACCAGCAGCGGTAACTGGAACATTTCTGTCACTTCCTACTAGTCTGCATCAGTAGCTAGCATAGCAGTCTGTTAGCACGGGAACTGTCACTACATTGAAGAAGAGTAAGGACAGATGGAGGGTGAAGGAAAAAGATGCTGCCATTAATCTGTGATTGGGGAAGGAACTGCGCCTGCTGACGAGGTTTTGCACCTTAAAAAATGCTTGTTTTGCCATCATCTTTGGTGGTGGACTTTCACTGTGGGTGGCTCCAACCACCTCCTCCACACACACCAACAAGAAACTAGGAGGTAAAGACTGGCTTTTGAAAATGTGCACCTGCAGCCCTCAGAAGCTCATTACTCTCATCTCCGTGGTCATTGTTGAAATTGCTTCCTTGTGTTTGTGTTTATTTGCTGATCTGTGGAGATTTTGTCTTAACTCTTCGTTCTCCTTTTGGAGTAACTCATATGTCTCATACTCGCTTCTTTGACCCTCCGTGATTGAGAGCGTGTGCTCTACTTTGGCAAGTTTCTTGTTGCATCCATTCAAGTTTCCTGTCACCGAGTGAAGCTAAAGCTTTGTCGGTCACATAATAATCAACGTTTTATGTTGTTTTGCCTCTTTGCCACTTTCCCACGTCATTATTTGCATCTAATTCTCACATGCTCCCTGGACTACTCCACCGATCTGTCAGCTTTTCACCACAGCCAATTTTCACTCCTCTTTCAGTAAAACTTGACCTCTGACCTTTAAACCTGGCAACCGAGGCCATTGTAATTCAACCTTGTTGTTGATGGTATTGATTTGAAACTAATTCACCAACTCGGGAAACCACACCGTTCGCCACCCCGTCAGCCTTTTACATGTGAGGGGTAAAAATGTCTGTATCTGTCTCACACAGCAGCCTGACAGCCAATGAGCTCTTTGTATTCCTTCCCTTTTTGTTGCCTGTCCCGTTTGCTTTCTTAGCCGTCAGAATTAATGTCTGAAAGCCAACAAAGATACCCAACGGATTTACTTTGCAAAGTGGATCAGCACAGCCTCGCCGTTTTGGTCCATTTGATCAGCCTTTGTTGTTATTATTTATTTTATTTTCAGTTATTACAGACGGGATAGGAAAGGGAGGGGAAGAGGGACAGTGAGTGATAATACTTTATCATTACCTGGATAGCATCAACTGTGGCCCTGAACACTGGGTTGTTGTGTTTTACAGTCCTCCAGTACTTGGGCCTGTTGGGATTTGTCAGATTACAGCCGTACTTTTCGAGGATGTTAAGCGCTGTAGATAAGCGCTGAAGAGATCCAAGAGTCTGCAAAGGAAGCATCAATTTTAATCTGAAATATGTCCTGTATTTGTACAGCGCTTTATTCGTCCCTAAGGATCCCAAAGTGCTTTACACATCCAGTCATAGAAGAATACAGCTGAACCCACAGTGTTTCAGTTGTACTGGTGTGACACACTACAACACTGAACACATTCAAACATCTATCTTCCTGTCGACCCTTACATCACATTTTTAACTGCCTGTGTGTGGGGGCCGTTGCAGTACTCAGCATCACCACTACTGAGCATCGTCACTCGGACAGTTTTGCTACATAAGTGCTATAGGAGTGGTAGAAGTCAAAACCAGAAGCCTTTGTCGAGTGTTCAGAGTGTTCAGGTCATAAACTCAGCTGTCTGTATGTCTCTCAGCTGCTCAGCTGGAACATCATTAAACCAACAGGATCATACAATCATAGACAATCTCAGGACACCTTTGACACATTCATTTTTGGGACTCTGGCCTTGTGAAGAAGTAAACCTGATGATTTAGTATAAACCTCTTTGAAAGCAATCATTTGAAGTGCATGCCTTTATCAGGCTCTCACAGCACGTTGGGGGAACTCTGGTCACCCTCAACCTTCACTGAGGTTTTCAAAACTTTTATTAAGCTCCCACCACAGCATATCAA